TAAGTGACTGGCAAGTGACCACGGTTGTAATCGTATTCTGCACTCGTTGAGTAAGTACTTCATGCATTCATTCTGCGCAGCTCTCTACCATGGAGTATCCCCGTTGGAGCACCTACACATTTGCCTATACAATATGATTGAATATCGTTGGGACTCACTGTATCGATGCTCTAGGTGCTCAAACAGGATTACTCCTCTAACATGGCAGTTGCGTCTGGTACCGACTAAATTCAATAAATTAATTAATCTTTTTTGCCTTACCTCCCTAAAATGCATACGATACGTATTCATATCATAAAAGTGCCTACATACACGTATCGGATTAGGCGGTTGAGCCACAGTACGCTTTCCCGAGGACGGTTAGCCGCTAGTTGCACTTGGGCAATCGCCATAGTAAGCCTAAGCTAAATTAAAAATCGGTCACGACCACGAAGAGTCCAACCATTACCATTCTACAAAAACCGGCAAAAAATAACGTTTGCTAGATGGCAGCTTGGGAGCCCCACTTAAATATTAATATTATTTATTGTATTCTGTATTTAGTAAACAGAAACATTTTACCTGTGACAACTGTCTAGTTATCACAGTTCATGCGAAACAGCCTTGTGATAGACAGACTGACACGGATAAATAGATGTTATTAATAATACATTTTAAAGAAATATTTGTAGATCAACAGCTTTTGTTTAAATGCTGACCAAAGGCCTCTTCTCGCCAGGAGAAGGTTGAATTCACCGTTTCATTCAACATTCGTTCACCGTTTGTCAGTGGCGTCCAAATTTTTTTATTTCTTTTCATTTGATGAAGAACCGACAGATGCACAGATTTACATCGCACCGGAGGGGCTACTGACGTCGATAATTAATGCAATAGTAGCAAAAGAGTGGGACTTTATTTATATTTATTAATACCCTCAAAAGACTATTACCTCATACAAATATTCGGGCTTTTAAAATTGGAACTCGGTACATAACCTTTTGTTCAATTCAGACAACGTAAAACTTCGGTAAAGGATTTATAACTCGAACCACTAAAAGGTATTCGCCAGAAATACCGTTGTAGTAATCGATGAAAACTGAAACAATTGTTTGTCGAATTTAGACACTTGATACTGTGGATAATTCTCTCCACATCAATAATTTGGAAATAAATAATGGTAAGACAAAATTGATGCATTTCACATTATACAAAATACCTTATCTATAGCTAAGCATGCAAATAGAAAAAGTTAAATACATAGAGCCTACTTGGTGTAAGTTACATACATATTGACACACACATAACGTGGAAGTCACACATAGAACGCATGAAATTATCTAGATTCACTATTTCTTTTTCCAAATAAACAAAGCTTACAAACATACACACAGCTGTGACTGCTTACTACGCTTATGCATACTCGTGGTTGCGCTATGGTGCCATGTTATGGCGAAATAGTGCAAACGTACATGAACTGTTTGTATTGCAATAATTATAATTTGCAACGTATAAAAACCTATTTTGTTTCTGTATTTTCTACCTACAATTCAATTTCAGTGCCAACATCAATAATAATAACATATCTATTTGTTCGAAAATGTTGCACGGTCGTAATCATGTAACCCATCATCTGTACATTTTGTTGCAACAAACGATTTGACTTTGACTTTGAATTTGTGAAGACTGACGACAGACTGACGTAGCTCAAAGTCACGTAATCATATAAATAAATACGTAACTATGAGAACGAATCATGATGACGTATTATTTTATTTATCGATAACTGCTCGCAGTTATTGATAAATAAATTCGCCTTCACAGTTCGAAAACTGTAGCGAGTAGGATCGATTTCAGGAACAATTAAATACTAATAGAACCACAAGTAGGAACAAAGAAGACAAACGATCACTCCCATATATCCGACTGAGATTGTAAAAAGTTAATAGTTGAAGTGAATAATTACTTGGCGACTGGGCTTCTTTACAGTTATGCAGCAGTCTCTTTGTGCCTTTAGGCTTAAGCCATTTAGTCTCCTGCATTAAATTCACCGAGGCAGAAGTGGAAATTATATACCTAGTTTTTAGTTCTCCTCTAATAATAATCCAACTGATTTATTTCGTTCCGGGATCTAAGTTATTCATGTCCCTGGGACGTGCCTTCAGTCAGACGGGCTTCAGTCTTCCGGTGTTTTCATGATTGTATTTACTGTAGATCCTGGTGCACAGGAGATGTTTTGAAAGTTTCGGGAGAAAGTGGCGAGCTAGTCACTTTAAAAAATTATTTTATTCGCATGTCCAATCGTCCATGCTTTAACTTCTGTACAACCTATGCTAGTTAGTTGCAGGTTTCGTCTTACACACTCGTTTTATATATTATCCTAACATAACATACATAATATATCGGAAACGTACTGTTACACTTTCCTACAGATATTATACAAGTACCTAGACTATTTATTGTTAATGCATAGTTACCGGTAACAAAGCATTTAATATCTGTATGTTATTATTTTCCTCTAGGTTTTTACGATACGTATTCTGTTTGGTCATAGTCTCAAAGCGATTAGTTTGTTAGTCTATTTTTAAACTATTTAATTTTTCCTCTTTTTTATTAGTCTAAAATATAAATCAAAACTACGTAAAAAATAAGGTCGACAATCCGGAGTGTAAAATCAGTTTCAGTTTGTTTTCGAATAAAAAAATGTTTAAAGCGTACACGGTATAAATTAAATCCGGACTTACGAGTAATGATTTACCTTTTGGTCGAATGCAATCCAAAAAATACTAACAGTCGAACATATGTAGTACCTCCCTTTTTTGAAGTCAGTAACAATTAATTTCTTAACATACTACTAAGCGCAAAACTCTCCAACCTGATCCTGCTAATGACTTATTTCGTCAACCTACGGGTAAGAAACTCGCGCGTGTCCGCGAATTGGCACCTTTCTATTTTATCTATTTTTATAATATTTTAAACTGAAAAATAAATAGAAAATATTTATTGTTAAAAAGGTATAAACAATAAAAAAATACTATTTAAAACCGTTTTTAAACCTACCTACTGTTAAGTAGGTAGGTTTAATAAGAGGAGAGAAGTAGTTAGAGTGTTTTCAAAAAATTATACATTTTAAGTTATCTATTCTCTCCTTATTAAATACCTCTTACTAAGTGATCACGTTCTAGTCCCTACTGTTAGATTTTTAATTTTATCTTATACTAAACTAAATAAATCTATAAAGCTGGAGAGTTGGTTTGAATGCGCTAATTTCCGGAACTTCTGGTCTAATTTGAATAATTATTTTTGTGTTAGATGGTGCATTTACCGAGGAAGACTATATGCAAAACGACGATCTATAGAAGCCGCGCAAAGCGGGTGAAATCGCGCGGAAGTAGATAGTAAAACGTATTCAAATTAAAATTGTTTAAGTGAACCTTTTTAATAATAAATATTTTCTATTTCTTTGTCCTCGCACTAAGTGAGGCAACGTTTAAAAATAAAAGAGAAGGTAGTATTACTATTTATGAAAAATATTTGTTGCTTACTGTACAAAAGTAGTAGTTTTATCTGTTTCAGCGAGTTGCCGACATCAAAAATAGGTAAAATAGAAAGACACGCGCGAATTTTGTACCCGTGTGTTGACAAATAAGTCCGAATAGTAATTATTTTAGCAATTTATTAAGTTACTTTCAAGATAACATTGAAAACCGGCAGGAAGTGTGCGAAACAAGGGGCGCAATACCGTTGCTCGTGTTAGTCCACGCGGTTGACGGCAGTACCATGCCCATGCCACGTGGAAAACTCACTTTTATGGTACTCAATCGTAATGAATTTTCCTCTTATAAAAGTTCGCGCTGCTGTTCCGCTCAGAGACACATGCGCACATTTTTGTTGCAAAATTACTGAAAGTGCAACTAAGAAATGTTACTATTACGTTTTTGTAAAACGGTATTACGGTATTTACAAAAATATAGATTAAACAGTTACACACATTAATGTAAGGTGTAAGCATTTTTGGTGGAGATGTTAAAACGATGGGAATAGCAAAACTATAGGAAACTAGAAGATAAATAAAATTGTAAGAAGTACAAAAGGAAATGCCACTGCGCTCCCTCGAGCGTTGACCCCGCCATACGCGAAGGAGAGTTTAGTATTTAAATTAATTTAAAATTATGTGTCCATGTCAAAAAAGTATTTGTTATTATTAACCAATATAAACCTTTTGTGAAGTTTCTGAAAATAATTTTACATACATTATTGGTGTATTTGTTTGAACGAATCCGCTTATGTTTGTACTTACTATGGAAGCAAAACTTTTTACGAAATATTTGTTTGTTGTGAAGTTGTGAAGCCATTTTTAATGACAACAGAGTAGTGTAAGTATCCGTGCTGACGACAATAAAATCCTCTATAGCAGTGGTGTTAACAAAACATCTACACTGTACCGTTAGTACATGGTATGATAAGCAAATAGTCTGTATGTAGAGTCGTAAGAGGTAAACGAGAGGCAGGCTCCGGCTTCAGCTCTATACTCAACAGTACTCATTACCCACGGCGATTAAATTGTTAATGTTCATGATAGTTATTGCGTACTGATGTAATATCTTGTTGCACACGGTGCCAGACCAATTGGTCACCTGTCTACTTGAATGACTCCATAATCAACAATCGGAAAAATATTCTCTGACTACTAATCGAATCATCTAATCTAAGACTAATCGAAGAAATGTTACATATTTCTTAGTTTCAGCGTTGGTTATCCTACTGCCGACTAGTAGACCACTAGGTTGGATACTAATAGGAGTTTGAAACTTTCTATGTCTGCATCAAAACAAAAATTATTGGTTTTGTTTAGTTATCTAGTAAGTAAGTAAAATGTGGATATTAAAATAATAAATAAATATTATGCAGCTTATTGTCGTAAGAAATAATTTCAAAGAGTTTGTATGCAATATAATATGCAAGTTGTCAGTCAGTGGGAGTGAGTGATAATTGAGGCCGGTGGTCACTTGGCCGGTACTCACGGGTGCAGGTCATACGGATGGTAGTGCTGCGCGGGCGGCTGCAGCTCGTGCAGCGGCAGGTAGAACTCATGCACTCGCGCGTACTCGCGCGCCATGCCGCGATCGCGTGACGCGCGACACACGCGACCACTCCGCGCGACGATGTCACACCCGACTGCCGACCGCGACTAGCGACGACACCGCGGCCCGACACACGCACTAGCCAGGCGACGCACTCCGCTCGCAGTCTACTACACTACCAAGCCCCTGGTTGACAGGTTCTATTTTCTACAACCCGCCTGCCTGACTACCCTTACATTCGGTAACATGATAATCCATAACTTATTCGTTAATAATTGTACTCGTAAAATGTACTTCAAACGAAGCTGTAGCAATTTAAGGTGTTCAACTGTAGCACGATATGGTAGCACAAGTACCTAGTGAACCTCACGTGATTAGATTTAACAATGAAGAATCTATAAAAACACTGCGCCCGCCTACTTGTAACCTTTACGGTAAGGGGCGTACCTATACATATCCCACCCAAATGTTTAGGAATCTCTATAACAAAGCGTGGTAATGATTTTCTTGACGCACACATTTAATTAGAAGTATAGACTGCGCGCGGGTGAGGCAATGATTACGGGTTCGAATACGGGGGGTGAAAAACAAAACTAGTCTGCGGCGCAGCGGAGAGCAGCGCGGGCCCGCGGCCGGCCTGCAGGTGCAGGGTTGCACTGATCCGATTACACTGTTCCACCGGCTCGTTTCCTCACACACTGACGCGTTACGCTCACTCTATAATCCTCCCTGTAGTCCACTGCACACTCTATCTCTTTTCACTAAAAAAAATGATCCACCGACTAATTAATGGCAAGTTACGGTATTTTACTTGCATTTTAGGTATTACTCATGAACTGTAAGGTTTTGTAAACCTTAGCTAACTTCACACTTCACACACGAAACATAGAGATTAAGTAAATGTTTGATAAAACTACAATGAAACGAATTGAAGGGACTGAGAAGCACGAGCGATATCACTTCCTACAAACTAGCAGGCAATAATATAATGCTGCACTCGTAGCGCAATCACGAACGGCTAAAAGTGCATCGCGATGACGCAGCGTGCCCCTGAACCTGCCCTTCACTAACTACCACCGCCCGATACCAGCCTACATCGATAGAATTCAAGTGCAGCTAATCCAGCGCGCGGCCGCTGCGGAAACGTCCCTACTTGTCTAAAATCGAACAAGTAATGGATATGCAGTTCGGAGACGTTGCAATCACAAGACGTCTAGTAGTTGGCTTACACGTGCCGCCTGCAACTAGTAAACATAACGTAATATTATGCAACTGAACAAAACGCACTGACTCTTATATGCATAGTGCATAGTGCATAGGGAGGTGGAGCGAGGTGCGGAGGTATTGCAAAGATCGCGTGACGGCTTTGTTAGAGACATGCGGCTGTTGTGCTGGGCTGTGTTTACTTTGCATCTTCGTTAAAATCATTCACATAATTTATTTCATGCTCAGAGGTAATAGTCCATGCTTGGATTTGTAATAGCACTGAATTTGCATGCATGTACCAGCACATTTGTTTATTAAATTTAGTCGACTTTGACTTGGGATACTTTCCATATTTTGAACACAATCAAGCATGAAGTGTGTGCCTTGTTACCCAAACTATAGACAAGAACTGGTTCGGTTTATCAGTACACTCCTAAGTGGCAATAATCAATTCCATCAAAGGTAGAGATAACAACTAGACATCACATCATCATTATTTATTTACAAAACAAATAACAATAAGGAACAATATTCGACATTTTCCAATGCGGTTTGATGAATTTAATATTTTTTGCTATAAAATTTATAAACGAAAATACACCTCGAATACAGCGAACTAAAGTTAAGATCAAATATTTTTGTGATAACTCTTGGAAACTTCCTTGTGTGTTTTTCCATCACCAACTTGGCACCATCAATATGATATGTAATGACCAGCTCAGAAAATCATCTGTGAATTGTGTAAGCTACGCTTATAGCAGTCAAACGTTATGAACGCATGTTGAGGGCTTCTCTTAATATCTCTAGGGTGTTCACATATAATGCATGGCTGATCTGTTTGTCTCATCGAAGTAGCTGCTAAATATAAAATATTCTATGTTCGAGCTAATTTCTATTGAGCAACCCACCTTAGTTAATCGCGATCTTTGCGGAAAATTCTGGCGCGATGGCCCTCATAATGAATAGTGGACGCACGAAGCACCTGCCACCCGACCCGCGCCATTTTCGCAAACCAATTACGAGTTAACATCGAATTACTGTTACCTTCGGACTGTATCGGATAAACTCTAAGGCTTCGCAATAATAAAATCGACGGCCATCTATAACATTATGTTGCTCACCTATCGTAATGGAGTGTGTATTTCTGTACAGTATTATGTTGAACAACAATGTTATTTTATCCTGACTTGATTTATTCTTTTACTTATTTGAAATTCATGACACACACCTTTGATAGCATATATTCCCCTATTTAGATAGGAATATGTGGGCACTCCCTATGAGTCCACATACCTGTTTCAGCAAGCTACGCGACGGGTTGTTAAAACTCGGAAATAGGGTCAAGGATTAACGTAACATAAGGTAGGATAAAAGATAAATGATTTATCTAGTTAAATGTACTAGAGAAAGCAGAGACTCCTTGCATTAATGCAACAGTATTTTGTCAACAAAAAAGTAAAGAAGACAAAGAAATCGTGCTATATATTATTGGTATTATACAGTTTTTGTAGATCGGTCAGAATGTGTCGGACATCGAGGTAATCTCGTCGGACATCCAACACCAACAGCCTTCTCCCTGCCCAGGGCGTTTGTATTCCCGATATTCAAGATACGATTCAATTTCCAATTACATAGAAACTAATAGATTTGTATTGATCAAAGTAGTACTACCTACTATTTTGGAAACTCTCACGTACTGTGCAAGAGGGCCAGAAATGAAATGTCGAAAACAGTGTGTGAATAGGATTTCTCGAAGTCAAGTTATCTATGAAAATGTTTTTAATTTTATTGTGATGTACCACTGCAGTACTGCACCGCGAAGGAGTCAAAATTAAGCGAAAGGAATCGTTGAATAATTTCACCCCTTAATAAAACCGTGCTCCGGAAATACAGCCATCAATCTCTATTGTCATACAAACATCATTATGATAAATCGTTAATCGTTACAGCTAGTCAGATGCCCAAAAATCTGATAACGGGTCTAACGAAGACTGTAGTCTCACTATTAACCTTTTGAGCGCCAATGTCACATATACGCGACAAGCGAAAACTGTCCCTGGACGTCAACGACACAAATACATGACAGAAAAAGCGGAACCAGAAACACGAATTATTGGAATCCCTATTGTTGATACAATAGGGATTCCAATAATTCCTATTTCTTTCGTAGAAATTTGCGTGGAATTTGTGGCTTGGTGTCGAAAGCAGGTTCATGTGTTTTTGCTCTGGCGTTCAAAAGGTTAAAGAGTTCATAACAATCGTTCTTTAGACACAATATGTAACTACGGACATTTAGTTGGTTGGGATTGAATTCGCTACCGTACTGACCAAAATAAAATTAAAGGAAAAGGGAGAATTTTCCGTTAGTCTAGTTATTTCAATGAATTTGTAGCGCGAACGTAACAGACAGATAGGTATAATTTTTCCAATAGGGAAACGGAGAAGGAATGATTAATTTATCAACAGAATGTGTTTTCGGGGCATTTCAGAATTATTGTTATTCATAAAATCTTATTTAAGTAACACGGGTATCTATATATAAAGGGTAAAACGGTAGGCGCTACACCGCAACGTGGTGCGATCCTAGTTCAACATCCGGCCCTAGTCGGCTCGACTGCTGTATACATAGTCAGACAAACAGTCGAGCAAACTGGAAGCAAACAAAAACAATTGCTTATTTACTGTACCATACCACGTAGCTACCAAATTATTAAAGTTATTAACTTACTTTTTTGCGTTGGGCAAGAACCAAACAGTTAGATTTGTATAGACGAAATTATTAACCAATATTAAAACAGTTGCCGAGTTGAAAAGGGGACGTTTTGTAATTAATTCTAATAACCATGGAATAGATTCTGCTTCAGTAAGCAAACATATAATAGAACAGACTGTTTTCGATATGGTGCGCATTTCGCCGGCAATCAACAACGAAAACAAAATATACCTGTTGCGTCTGCAGGTGACACCACCCCGCGCTACGTCCGCTCCCTCACCCTAACATCAGCCACCCGGCCCGCGGCCGCTACTCAGCCACGACCGACCCTAGCGTCAATAATGTCCGAAAGTATTCAATTATATCTATTTTATTTTCATGTACTAGGCATTAGACAGTTTGTTAGACAATAGTAGCCAATATCATCACCTGTTTAATAATTTATGTGCAATACGCATGAAAACATAAAGATCCGCTCAGCACCTCATCCCTAATTTCCAAAACGCCGGTATCGCACTCGTAATTTTCCTGGTGTTGCGGGTTTCAATCGGCAATGCTGATTGTTTATTGTACCACTAATCTGCCGTAGGTTCGTTTACCGTTTTTTTATTTATCCCATAAAAATATCCCATAAAAATTTTTAAAATGTATAGACAGAATGAATAAAAGCCATGAGTATAGCAACAACATGTAGCTCGGATGCGTATAACGTAGTCAGGCAGGAGACACTGAGACAGGCAGGCAGGTAGCTTTGCACAAACACATCATATCATAGAGTGTCACTCGCAGTCAGCCTCCCGCGGCGCCGGCCGCGTTGCTGACGTGATCCATGTCCCGGAGCCACGTTCACAACTACTCACAACTCACGCAAAAAGAAGATCCAATTTATTATTAAACTGGTAGGCATTGGTCCAATTTAATGAGAAACGTATGACGCGATTCAGTTATTTATCAGCAGTCACTGGTAAAATCAAGTTTGTACCAATCTGATAAATAAGGTAAAGCTAAAAAAACTTTTATGGAAGTCCAAACTTATTGAGGAAACTTACTTATTGAGGCTACAAAATTGCAATTTTACATGTCAATATTTACAGAACGTTCAGATAAGTTCGGCATTTCCTAAATTACAGAATTAACAGTTTATATGGCGGAACCGATGACCGTTTTGAGGGATAGACGTTTTTCGGAGTAAAGATAGGAGCAAACTTGATTGATGCCCTGTAGCTTGGTGGGAGAGATGATATCTGCAAAGTGAATTCTAGCTAGTAGTCGGGAGCGAAGATCTCAGAGCCATCTTTTGTCAAACTCAACATATTGACAAAAGATGTAATTGTTCAGCTAGGTATGTACCTAGCTGAACAATCAATCCAAGATTTGTAATTTGTATAATGGACTGAGGGACGGCAATACGGGCCAAGTTTCGATTGGATCACGGGTTTCCTCAAAAGTCCAGATCTGCTAGATAGACACAACGACTCATCAATATTCCTCTGTATTTGGTACTATTTGGTGCACCGTGAATACCGTGTTGTGCATATCGCAGGTGAATTATATAATCCGCCGTATTACATTACGGCTAGCCATTTAGAAAAGCAGAGACGTTTTTGGATGCGGCGACTGCACCATAAGCCGTATTGTCGTCAATGCGAAACGTTCTAAAATATGATGGTACACGTTTAGCCTCATTATAATTATTTTACTATGGTCTGAGTAACCATCATATTTTGTAGTATTAAAATGATACGTTATTCCAAGATGGCGGCTTTACAAAGTTATCAGCAAAATCATGAAGGGTGTCGTTTTCGTGGTTTTTGAGGACGATAAAACTGATGGTGCTGTCGAAAAGTAAATTTAAGATGGTGGCTGTACAAATTTTATTTACTTTTACTTCTTCGTCATAGGTAGGTGTCGTTTTCGTAATTTTCGAAGGTGGTGGACTGATGGTGCTACTAAATATAACCACTGCGGTTACAAACCTACGGGTCAGTTGTCAGTACAGTAGAACTCTGAATAAACAATACTTAAAATTGTAAAGAATGCATTGCATAGAAGTTATGTTCAAAGTTCTGTTACAAACTTGGTCAGTGAGTTGACCTTGTGCTTAGTTGAGAGACCATTTAAAAGAATATCATTACACAAGCCCTAAGTGAACTTGAATGAAGTTATGATTCAGCGTGAAAGTCAGCGGCGGAAGTCGGCGGGCTTCCAACAGAA